GGAGGTCTTTGTACATCCTTCTTTGTTTATGAAAACCTGTGGTAAGGCTTTGTTCCTATTTACAACGAGATAATCTCTTCTGGAAGGTTGTCATTTCAGCGCTCCTTTGAGAAACATAACCCTAGTGTGCTGTGAAACGTATGCAAGTCGCAAGTTAAAATTATATGTTTCTTCCGCTTACATCCGCATTGTGATGTAGGCCTAGATTTGCAAGTTACTTTTAGAATTTGAGAATGGGGTTGAGAACGGTGACACACTGTGCCGTCTAGTTGTTTGCATTGCTCAGCTGAGGGGACGTCTTTTGGCCTCTCTCCTTGGGACGGATTTGAGTGGAAGGTTTTATCATTTATTAATACGAATTTCGTAATATTTATCGGTGTGTGGTGAACGTTTAGGATAAAATCAACTGATTTGCTCACAAGGGGAACTTTTTATGAATTGCTTTGGTTTTAAATATTAGTGAAAGATACCTGAATTGAAAGGTAAATGCTTGTTTTGTCAGCAGTATTAGTCACTGATTACTTCAACTCCTTAACTGATAAGTGATATTTTTTAGGCAAAGATAAAGTTTGTGTATGTCAATGACTGGTTTGTCACTATACATGTGTTGATATTTGGTAGGTACTTACCTACAATTTCTGTGCATCATATCTCGTTATTTGGTGCTCAACACTGTCACACTTGCTTGTCTGTCAAGTGTGCATGGTCCCATGTTACTCAATAAGATAGCTTTTGGATAAAATGTTATTACTGATAGTCAACCTAGCATTCTTCTGCCACTATAGACCGATTCTGTGTGATATCATATGTCGGAGTGACCATTCCACTTGGTGAAAATAAACCTGTCGCTCGCCAATGCCTCGTAATCAGTGTGAGTGAAATGGTGTTTGATTACTTTGATTCTTCAAAAAACGGAGCAAAAAGGCGATACGAAGTAAAACTAGAAGTAGTGCAGCTGAAAGAGAGCCCATACCGTCTGCCTGCAGAAATTGGGATCGACAATCCTTCAAAAAGGCCTAACATTGAATATTGTGACATCTATGACTATTTTACCAACACGCCAGGTATTAATAATAATTCTGTAATATTAATAATTCTCTGTAATAATGATAATTTGCTACAGGAATCTGTAACTTTTAACTATATAGACTATATAGAGTATTTTTCTGTGAAATCAGGCTATTTCCTAACATCACTTTTCCTCCCATTTACTAGGTTTTTATACAAAGGAGGCAATGAAGTCATGTAAAGGCCTACAAGCGCACAACACATTTTTCTCTCTCCTCAATAATTGAATCTCAAGAGATAGGCCCTCTTCAGTTGTTTTATCTGCTGGACCATATGACATATCAGACACAAAGGCAACTGTATGCCTGTTTTGTTTCCATCTGATGGGTAGTGTGTGAAAACGCGTGGGATAAAGTCTGGGCGAGTTGGATCCGGGGATGGTTTGCCTGTAAATTTAAATTATGATAAATTTATTAAAAAAAAAAGTAAAATTCTTTTGTGCTTTTTAGACTGCTGCTAAAACAACCAACAGCAACACAGCTCCTCAGCATTTTCACGCAAAGAAACTAAATTCTCGGAAAAATACAGCGACTGTAGGCAAAGCGCAGCGAGTTTTCAAACAACTGAGGATTTGTTTTCACCAAGTGCTTGTTGCTAGGGGCGGTTGCTAGGCGTTACCGAATCGGTCTATCTAAGAACTTCACTATACTATAATCACTGTTCTTTGTGGTTTGCAAAAACTAACGTTGGCACACAGTTGCAGGCTTACCTTTCATTTTTTTTTTTTTTTTTTTCCTTCTTTCTTTCTTTGTTTCTTTCTTACCCATCATATCTAGCATAATGCATTCAGGTATTATTGTGACCATAAATAGTCATGAGCTGGAAAAGTTGATTAGTCAGTTATGACGTACATGAGCAAATGGTAAACACATATATACTGTATGTAAGCCAGCTGGCAAATATCTAATGAGGTTCCACAAACTAAGTATTGCCAGTTAAGTAATAAGTAGGGTTGTCAATCTTAACAGTATGCTTACGGGAAACATTTCCTTTGTAGTTAAGTATATATGTAAAGAGGATGAGAGTATGAGGAGGTGTAAGTGTGATTGGGTGTTATAGTGTTGGTAATATATAGTTGATGATATATAATGCCATGCTTGTTTACTGCAAGGCACTCCAGTCAACACAGGTTTATGGTAATCTCCATATCCTTGGTTCACAGGTGTTATGGTAACTTGCTCTCGCATTTTTGCTTCTGTTTACTTTCTAAACTTTTTAGGCACATTGCACTAAAAGTTCAACAGAGCAGGTGTAAAGTGAGACCATAATGAATATTTCAGCACACTAAAAACTTCTGATAATCACTGAAATTAAGATGAAGTAAAATGAAGTGAAACATCATGAAATAGGATAAAAAGTGAATTAGATTTTGCTTGACATAATCTGATAAACTACCATAGACTTTACTGTGCATTTTTGCTCTAAAATGCTGATCAGGGAAGTGAAATATGCTCTGAAATTATAAGGACAATGCAAGTTTTGGGCTTACAAAGAAATTGTTGGCTATAATAGCTGTCACTGGTGATTCAGATGATGTGATATACTCTAATACAGGCAATAGATATTTCTCTATAAAAGTTGCAACAGTGTAAGATTTTATCAGAGAACACCCTTTAAAATCTCACTTCAATTTTCTTTTCAAGTTCCGTTGCAAAACGCCTCAGCAAAAGCCTAAACTTTGCAGAGGAAGTTATAAGGTTTGTTGTGCTAGACTAGCATTTTCCAACATTTGCAACATGCAGTAATAGTGTTGTTATAAGGAACCTCTCCATAAGGAAATATCATGTACTGTCTTTTCCTAAAATAAATATTTTTAATCTCTCTCCTCTCTCTCTCTCTCTCTCTCTCTCTCTCTCTCTCTCTCTCTCTCTCTCTCTCTCTCTCTCTCTCTCTCTCTCTCTCTCTCTCTCTCTCTCTCTCTCTCTCTCTCTCTCTCTCTCTCTCTCTCTCTCTCTCTCTCTCAATTACCAATTTAGAAAAAATCTTTATTATTTCAGAAAATGGCTTGAAATATTTTTCAGATTTTTATAAATAGCATCCTTATAAGGTGGATTACAATTAATGATGTATAATGCTGGTGAATGAGTTATTGTGTCTGCATACCAAAGAAGACTGAAACCTGTCATATGTATTTATTTGTCAAGCAAGTTACAGGGTTGCACACAAATTTGTTATGCATAGTTCTGTCCGCTGACCACAGGGTCAGTGTTTTGATTATACAAAACATATATATGTGGCAAAGTATTTCCTTTGATTATTTCACTTTTAAGTAATATTTTTATACCGCACAATTTAGAGAAAAAAAATTGCCAAAAATGATAAGTCAGTCTTGAATATATACCTATAAAATACATTTGCACTTATATGCAAAGGTATAATAAAATTAGCCTCATTATCACCGTCTCTTAACCTGCTGGATCTGAGTACCTCTCTCCCCTGAAGCCCAATGTAGGGATTGCCCCGACCTTGGACTACAGCCCTCACCTCAACTTATTTTGCTTGGTATTTTCTTCTCCTTTCCTCTTTCATATCTTCTTCATCCTCCTCTTCTGTCCTGTTCCTAAGGTGTGAGAGCCGTGCTGGAAGGATAAAAGGGTGGCTTTATGTCAGTCATTAACGGCCTCCGGGAGCCATGGGTACGGTATTCCCTTGGTTAATTGCCTAGCCCTTAAACCTTATGGGGACCCTGAAGGGAAGACCATGGCCAATAGTGAAGATTCTTTACCCGTAATAGGGGCATTAAGGCTTACCCCTTTATCAACTAGCCAGTCTGATTCCGATTTTGATGGTTTTACGACCTCTGCTACTCCTTTGACCACAGCTCCAACCACCGATACTAATACCATATCGACATTTATGGACAACTCTATCCATTCTGAACCACCCATCCGGGTTATTACTCAACCTCCAGAATGTACCCATTCCTCTCTCCCAACATTCTCTTCTCCAGTCTTCAATATCTACCACCTCTTCCCTTATTACTACTCTTTATCCTTATTGTCCTCCCCCTAACAGAACTACTCCACTCACCACCTATCTTCCTCCCGCCCTTGTCCTTCTATTGCCTCTACCTCTGCAAACCTTTTGAGTACTCTCCTTATCTCTCTCTTAATACTTGTACTGGAACTGTTTCTATCCCCCCCAACTGATTGTCCCATAATAACTACTGGTCATATTGTGAAAATTACCTACTTACCTGCCTTGCTGATTATGATGCAGTATCAGAACAGGGCTACACTATTCCTCCCAGAGGTCCATCTCTCTGATTCTGGGAGAAAGATGCCTAACAGCTCGACATGTGATCCTGGGTTTTATGAGCGAAGCTGGTCTTCTCGTTAAGATATAATTATGTGAATTATTCTACTATTTTGACTAATTTTATTTTTATTTATTGAATTTTATTTATTTATTTTTTTCACTTATTCATTAATTTCATAACCCTTGATTTACATTTGTAATTAATAATTTGTTATCATATTACCATGATGTTGCAGCACCAGGTGTGTTTTTTGACTAATCAGTCAATCAATCCTCCCAGAGGCCAGCATAAATCCCATGTCAATATTGTCAAGATTAGCTTCTGTAGACATGACTTCTCCCATGATGTTTATATTGATGGATTGTCCTAGCATATCCCCCCCTTCCTCATCAGTGTCAGAAATGTTGGCATTTTGGCCACCCAGCCAAACACTGCCACTCCACAGCCCGTTGCCCTCTCCGTGCCAAACCTGGTTATGACCGTTCAAATTGCCAGGCTCAGTCACGTATATGTGCCAACTGTGGTGACTCCCATAATGTATTTTATGAGAGCTGCCCTGCCTATAAGCTCGAATGTGAGGTAGCAGTTCTCAGATTCAAACTAGGCCCACTCTATGTGAGTCTAGACAGGTATCACAATGAGGTTTTTCTCCCTGGCTATTCCAAAACAGTCCTTCCTCTGCACCCCCTCGCCTATCTCCACAAGATGTGTCTGCATCTCCCCCAGTAACTTCCTCTACCTTAAACTATCCTACCTCTCATCTCACTATCCCACAGTCAAATCTTTTCTCCATTCTAAATCCAGATACTCCAATCTCTATCACTTTTCCAATACCTACCCTTCCTCCCCTTCACTTTACGAGTTGTACCAGACCTAGACCTAAACATTCTAGCCCATCTTCCCCTTCCACACCCTCCTTTTCCACTGCTCCTCAAACATCTATCCCCTCTTTTCCTCGCAAGAGATCCTTTGATTCTCAGACCTCCCTACCTGAATCCCCTCCAGAAACTCTTGAAGACATCCAAAAATGCCTAGACATGACCTAAGAAAATGTTCGGCTCCCTCATCCACCTTCCAACCCCTCGATTCCTAGTCCCTCTACATTGAGTATTTGCCTATCTATCTTTCTCCCCCATCAAGAGCTTTGTGCACTCATGGCAAGTCATTTTCATCACTCCCGGCTGATGCTAAATTTTTCTGACAGTAGATTCCCATCAACTGGCCCTTAGCTGAAACTTATCATGACATGCGGGTCATGTCATTTAGTTCAAATGGCTTAACCCTATCATGAAGGGCTCTTAATTTTTGTTATGTAATATTATGCAACAGTCTTGACTTTATGGCAAGGCCTAAGCTGTATAGAGCCAGCACACCCAACACAAGTCATGAAGCGTTTATACGTCATAGGCTATTAAGTCATGTCAGCTATAGCCGTACTCATCACTGAAGGGTTAAAGAACATCTGATAAAGTCTTAAAGAGCCCCACAGTTTTGGAGAACCCTGATTGGGAAACGTGGTGCAAGATGATTCATTTTGGTCTCATTTTGAAGCAGACTTGTTGCACTTCAGTGTAAGATCAGTGCAAATCTGTAAAGTGAGTATGCTCTGCTTAGGTTGAGGGCTAATTTGCACCTTTTTAGAGCTAAATTTAAGACTATCATGATTTGGTATGTCACTTCTGTTTTGTTCATTTGTCTTTCTTTTCAGGAACTATGACCTCAGTGTTTGGAGCTGGTTCCTACTAACAGAAGGAAGAGCACCATGTGTGTCGACTGGGATATGATCATCTTCCAGCCGTAGGTGGTGTGCCTGCCCACCCCTGGCTAGCACCTCCTGCCTACTGCAACACTTGGCAAAGCTCTGGGATTTATCTGTACACTGCCTCTATGCAAGACCAGTCATTGATATCCAGCTCACTTTGGATATTTTAATAAGAGACTCTTTGATGCATACTTGTATGTGTTGACATATTGTGTACAAAAGCAGAAGCAGATCCTATTATATTTTGGTATTTTCATTGTTTGAGGAGATCCATCATTGTATAGATAAAAAGGTATAAGTTTTCAGAGAAATATATCAAAGTCATTATTGGCTGTAACCAAGGTTGTAACCTTTGTCTGAGGGTCAAAGGGACTTTGTTATTGTGATAAATTACAGGATTACAGATCCCAGTAACATCTGTTATATTCCACAACTTCCATCAACCAATTAGGCTTGCGCTGTTTGACAATAACGATGATGATGAAAGAGCACCATCTAGAAGGAACCAAAAATTTTCAATAAGGAAACAAGTTGAATGTGGAGTATAGAGCCAGCAGCCTAGTTTGTCTCAGAGTTCGGCAACTGCTACGCATTAATTCAACTGTGATAATTGTTGGAGATATCCCTCCCTACTAATGTGCAAAGTGGACAGGGGATGAATTTGTTGTACCTGTGAACATAAGCCATTACAGTATCATTTTCATTTATTTGTTTTCATTTTCAGTCATAATTATTTCATATATTTATATTGATTATTTATAAGGATGATGATGATGATGATGATGATGACCTAATGTTACTTTGTTAAGAGTTTCCTTGAAAAGGTTTTATTTAGGGGGGTGGGGTGATCTCCTTTTCAAGTGTGTGCGACTGACTGTTAATTGTAAGTTTTCCTTAGCGGAAATAACCCAACTCTTGTGATACACAGACCGAACGAGGTGTTTAATAGCTTCACTGGAGGCTTGGAAGTCTCTTTTTTAGTGGTTAGTTAACACTTTTTGCTAAATAATTAGACCAGTCTCTCATTTTGAGAAGACAATAAAGGCTTGATTAGCAATATTCTATATAACTGAGACGCAGGACTGCAAAGTAGTTTATAGGTAGGTTTTAGTAGTCAGTCATACTGTTTATGTAAGACAAAGAAACTATTTTGACTTCCTATTGGTAAATCATGTGAATGAAAAAATCCTGTCTTGACATACATGGCTCATTGGACATTTATGAGATCAAAATTTTTATTCTGAAGCTTTTGTGTGTATTAGTGTGTTTATATTGTGAAACAAGAGTCCCAAGTCTAGCATTACAAATTTCAAAAATAATTCCATTAGAAGAGATAAAATAAGGTTGAAGGAAAGATTGATAACTGTGTTTAAACATCTGAATAGATGTTTTAGATTGCTTTTTGGATATGTAAGCTATAAGAAGACTTAGGTTTAAGTCTAGATTACTGATTGATGTTGGAAAAGATTGTGTTATTTGTCTGGAATGGTTCTTGTAGGCCATTATCATATGGGTGTGGTGCTGGGGCGCGGGAGGTTTGGTTGGGTGTCACGAGCCACCCACCACATCATCGGACGGCCAGTTGCGGTGAAGCACCAGCCATGGGCAGTTGATGGAATCAGTTGTGGTGGTGAGGCTGGTGAACACAAAGACTGCCAGCATGTGGAGGTGACAAAGTGCCGTGCTGCACTAGAGAATGAAGCAGCTCTCCTGGCTCGAATCTCGCACCCATCTATCGTGGCACTGATGGAGGTCGTACGTGGTCCTTCTGGTGTGTACGTGTGCTTAGAGGATCTGGGAGACACAAACCTTGCCACATTGGTATTACAACACTTTGAGAGCAAAAACACTGGACTTGGTGAATCTTTTACATCAACAGTATTTAGGCAAGTGGCAGCTGGCTTACACCACTTGCACAGTCAAGGGATATTGCATCGTGATGTAAAGCCAGAGAACATAATGGTGGTTCCTGGCACAAAATATGTTGCTCCAGTTGCAAAACTGATTGACTTGGGTTTGGCTATGGCATGGGAACCTTCATCTCCCCTCAATACTGCACGGACATGTGCTGGGACTGTCAATTATTTAGCCCCAGAACTTACCTTGTCAGCACACAATTATGGCCCTGAGATAGATGTATTCAGCCTGGGAGCCTCTCTCTACTTTACCCTTATTGGAGAGACTCCCTTTATCGAATACAAGCGCAATGGAAGACGGGGCACAACTGCAGTCTATGGCCTCCAACTACATCATGAGGATGCAATAGACACTCTGTCACGGCAGGCAGGTGTTGTGCTGCATGCCATGATGGACACCAACCCCAAGACAAGATGGAATCTGCCAAATCTCCTAGATTATATCTGGTTCAATATTCCATATAAAGACCTTCAAAAGCGCAAAGAAGGGTACCTCTTCAAGAACAAGAACTCAAGTGAAAGAAAGAACAACAGCAAGGCAAGTGAATTCAAGAACTCAAGCACAGACTCAGAGGAAGACTTAGGTTATGCATCAAGGTTTAGGGGTTCCCGGATGAGGTCCAACTTTGCACATGGTTATGGACCAAACAATAGTGGGATTAGTAGTGAGTTAAGTGAGAGTTACAACAGCTGTGATGACGTTAGTACTTACAACAACAGGAAGCAGAGCTACTGGGTTGACAAACAGTGTGTTGAACTGGTTTCATCTCTCTTGAAAAAAGATGCTGAAGATGTGTTGCATAAACTGTGGGAGGAACCTTGGGGTCCTGTTGGTGGTATGTACAATTTGCTGCTTCATGCTGGGGAGCCTCCTTGCCTTGAACATAATTAGCTTAGCAATGCTGATGTTGTCTTAACTAGTTAAGACTTCAGATACCAGAAACAACCATGAGGCATTCATTGGACAAAGATTTTGATGAAAGAGAAATACATCCTAAAGAAAGAGCGGAAAATGAAGGGAAGACTAGTGCTTCAAGAAGTAATGATATAGGTTTGTAGATCTGTTTAATCTGTGCACATTAACTGTTTGTTATGCATTTTTTGTAGGACTTGGAAGAGCTGTGACGTGGACCCCACACTGTATGACCTGAATGGCTTAAGTAGGGTGGTGTGAAGAAAAGCCTGCTGAGGTTTAGGTCTCTAAATATGTTCTACTGTTTGGATCTTTGGGGTCTCCTTGTGGGTTAAAATTTCATAATTAGAAATATATATATGCTAGACTAAACACACACTCACCCTGACACTCACCCTTACACTCACCCTTACACCCTTACACACACCCTTTTACACACACCCTTACACACACACACACACCCTTACACACACCCTTACACACCACACACACACACACACACACACACACACACACACCCCTTACACACACACACCCCTTACACACACAACACACACACACACACACACACACACACACACACACACACACACACACACACACACACACACACACACACACACACACACACACACACACACACACACTCTCTCTCTCTCTCTCTCTCTCTCTCTCTCTCTCTCTCTCTCTCTCTCTCTCTCTCTCTCTCTCTCTCTCTCTCTCTCTCTCTCTCTCTCTCTCTAACTTTTTTATTAGGATTAGAATATCTTCATAAAAAAGATAGTAAGTATTTCTGTGATGAACCATTCAAACATCTTTCACTTTATCCATACTTGCTTTAGACAGGATCTGGCAGTTTTAGAGTCAGTCACTTTCTATGTTATGTTGCAGTTAACATGGACATGAATTAGAGTGGGGCTGTGCTGTTATATTGAGTTGTATGTTATGTGGTATGATTGTAGGATTGGAACTTTCTTTTTCTATCAGTGCATCAGTGAATGACGAAAAGTGAATGGAAGAATGTTCTTTTAGATTAAGAATTTACCTAAATCAAAACAACAACAACTAAACTTTGTAGTTCGTAGGTGTATGTGTATCTACAGGTGATTTTGTACATACATATTCATAAGTGGGGAGAGTACAATTAAAAGTTCAATAAGTTGGCTATTGATCATATCAGCAAACAACTCCTGATTCTTGTGGTAGCTTGTGCCATAAGTAAATCCTTGTTGAGTTGCCTGTTACTACAGTCCTGCGTATCTTGCCCTTTGTTTTCGTGCCTGGGGTCGCAGGCTTGGACACAAAGAAGGCTGGAGTAGGAATGGCCCATATTATTATTGTCATATTGTAATGACACAAGTTGGTTTGTTAGGAATCAACACAATGAAGATAATCAGGATTGCCTTTTTAGTAGATTCAAATAAATTTATCAATATATATATATACTGTAGATATAGATTACATTTCCTGCAAGCAAGTTCTACAGCGTAGGTTTTTGTGATTTTCCTGCCAATCATGACACTAAATATTATCTAGTAGATTTGAAGCTAAAGTCTATTGTAAGGCTCGGTAGATAAAAGTTTATTCAAATGGCTTCTCTATGAAAAATACAGAAAGCCTCAAATGCTGCTTCACAATTGGTAATGAGGTTGCAAAAAGCAAATACACAGGAAAGCAATAGGTTTTATTTGTTTGAAACTGTTGTGATGAAGAATGTAACAAAATCTCTTTGTTGTATGAGAGCAGTAATTGTTGAATTGTTTTTTGTTTTTGTTTTGTTTTTATTTCTTTAAAGAAGAGTAAGTTGTATGATGATTAGGTCTGCACACTTCATTCACCACTATGATCAAAAGACCATGATGATGACATGAGTTGAGTTCTGAGCATTTATCCTTCATACGCCAAAGAGTTGGTCATAATTTGGTCATAAATCACCTGTGGCCCTAAAAGAGCTTAGTAGAATAACATTGACCAAGAAAACAAAAACAAAAATCTCCCAAATAACCACAGTTACAATTGTGATTTATATTCTCATGTTAACTCACACATACGCATCACGTATATGCACATTTGACCAGTCTGAGGACCTACATATTTGACCATTTTTCCCCTTCTACTTCTGTTTTCTTTTCATTTTCTTGGATGTTGTGTTGAATGTAGCCTTTAAAATGTATTGGATGTCTTAGGTCTTATCCATGTGTACAGAAAACTTTTCTTTTGTTCTGGTTTACTTGAGCAGTAATTTAGGAACCTATGCAGAAAGCAGACAGAAAAATTGGCATGTAAACAAGTTCTAAAGTGTGATGTTCCATTTATTTGTTAATGATAACAAGATTAAAGACCAGATATAAGTAAATTACTCAATGAACGATAGTTCAAATCATATTTTTCCATGATTTTATTTTCTCCTTTTCATGTAGGCAAGATGACTTTGCCTAGTATTCATTCCTATATTTTTTGAAAGTATTCCATTCTAGTTTGTTATGAATGGGTTGAATCTTTTTAGCAATAAATTTCATTATGTACAAGGAAATGTAATTTATTGTTCATGTATTCTTTTCTCACTGTGACTATTGATAAAGTTTTAATTGTTGGTTGTAAGATTATCTTTTATACATTTATTTTTCATTATATTTTGTACTATGAGGAATGCTAGCATTTCGTATCCCTCCACTTTTTACTGCCATTCTTTACATTGGTTCATAATTGATCAGTAAGTGCTTTTATTGTTCAATAAAGATTATTTGAATTTATGTGTATTTATCTCCTTTGATTGTACATTTACAATTTTCAGTCTTTTTTTTTAGATCTATCTCGGTTTCTCTCTCGTCCTCCTGTCATTCCTTCCATACATCTATTCAACCAACTGTCCTCCTGCACTTCTTTCTTCCTTTCATTTCTCCTTCCTTATAGAATCCTACAGCTTCTGCCTTGACAAGCTGTTCTCCTTCCTCATACGCATAAATATCCTTCACTTGATCTACTTCCCTTACCTAAACCACCATAACCCTTTCCCTCATCAACCCCCTTACCCATCTTCAACCTTTCAACATTACTCTTAGATAGTTAACTCAGCAACTATCACCTGACATCACCCTTTACTATGCATTCCTATAGGGGTATATGACCTTAGGTGTCTAGCACATTTGTTTAGCTTTGAACCATTAACCATTCATTCCTCTTTGTCTCTCTCTCCTTATCCAAGAGTAATGGGAAGGGAGTTCAGTATGCAGTTCATTTGGTCATTTGGTAACCACGCTTACCATTGGCAACAGTTATTTTGTTTCTTGGATTATGGATTTTATATCTGAAAACATCTGACAGGTGGTAACAAAATGAAAGATATATATATTTTTTTTTAAGTTTATCAATTTCAGAAAACGTGTGACAGATGGCAAAAAAGAAATAAAATAAAATGCCAATAACAAAACTACATCACGTCTAGAACCAGTATTGTTCATGTACCATAAACAGGAAAGATATCCTTGTTGATTATTCTATACAGAATTGGTATATTCTATTATTTTTCTTGGTATATTCTATACTGGTTATTCTATACAGTATTGGTATATTCTTTATTGGTTATTCTATAGTATTTATCTATGGTATCTATATTTACTCTATACAATTGGTATACTACATTATTTATTTTTTTCAGCTTTCAGATTCACGTTCGTACCACCACCAGCTTTTTTTTTTGTTAAGCGTGTACACACCACCGGAAAGCGAACGGAGACAATTGCCATTTTTGTTACATCTGCACGGATTTACTTTCAAGATGTTTGGCCATGTTGAACACCGGTAGTAAAATAATAAAAAGTTGATTTTACAAATATACTTTTGTTCATATCGGAATCAAACCGTATTGGATTTGTGCGGCGGGATAGAAGTCAATCTCGCAATTATTTATATTTTAGAAAATCGGAAAAAACAAGTGCGACGGATCCGTAAACAAGGAATAAAATAACTGTCGCCTTGGTAAGATTTATTATTTACAAAATAGTTCCAGTAATGATATAAATGAGAAATAAGTAAAGATCTGACACTGCCTACTTGATAAATCTCAGGTCCTTTAACTTACTGTCTGAATCAAGGAAAAGAAAAAAATTTTCCCAGAAAACTCTGAAGGCCCTGTTCTCATGACTGAACCATGCCCGGCGAACTTAAGTGGTGCCTGTGACGTCATACGCTCCCGAGTTCGACCACGGGTACTCGTGGGTCTATATAAGTACTTATAAGTACTTATATAGACCTTGCTTCGTGGGTTTGGCCGAGGTCTTGACGAGTACTTCTGTAGACCTTAGCATTGCCCATTAATTCTGGCTGAACAATGGACATCAGCTGAATGGCCGTCGGAGTTTCTCGGTCGTGTGGATAGGGCCTGAAACGAATTGCCAATTACAAAGTACATTAAGCCAGTTAATAAAGCAAGTGAACACAAAGAGAAATGGTTATGAGTTTGAGGAAAACAATGAGGAATATAAAGCTCATTTTCTTAATCTAAATCCACAATTTAAAACGCTTAAATGGTATCATTTAGGCACACAAAAAGCTTCAGAGGGTGAGTATAGCTCACGGCAAACCTAAAGCAAACGTGTATGAGAACAGGGATTTAAATTCTGTTTAAAGGTTGCGGAATAAACGAAAGTCTGTTGCCATGTAAGTTTGGAAATGCGGCAAATTAAGTTAATTACAATAACAAATCCATTTAGCAATAAGACTTCGAAACATAACACCCATTTTTATTGTTGTAGATATATTGTCCTAAGTAAACATACGCACGCGGTTAACAACAGACGTAATAAGTTAAGTTTAGTTTATGAAAGGAACTACGTCTTTTTCTGTTATTGAATGAATTTGATGAATACACATACGCATATACTATCATTGTTATTATTATTTTTAGTAGTATATTGTTCCTATCATTATTGTCATTATTATCATTATCATTTCATCCTCATTCATTACTATTATTTTCTATCATGATAATTATTATAATCATTATCATCACCATAATCATTGTCATTATCATTTTATCATCATTATTATTATTATCATTGTTTTTGTTTTTGTTCTTATTGTTATTGTTACTATCACTACATTATCATTATCATTGTTATTATTATTATTACTGTTATCATTATCATTATTCCACTGTGCGACGAAGCCCTTTCAAAGCTTCCTTGAAGGTTTCTTGGCAGTGCCACCTTCGCCCGACAGGATGCCCTTCCTAATGGACCATCACCCTGGAAATTGGAAATCCTATAGTCCTTCCTGGAGTGATCTGAGACACTGAGAGAAAACAAGTTGAAAGAGAGAATAAAAAAGGTGTAATAATTTAAAAATTATGGAATATGAGCAAATGAAGATGCATGGATAATTGGTGAGAAAATTATATCAAGGGGAAAAAGGAAAAACGGAGGAGACACGTTAGGATAAAAGAAAAAAAAAAAAAAAAAAAAGGAGATGAAGCAACAATGAAAGTTGGAGAAAACGCCAGAAAATGAAGGAGAATGCCCTCCCTTTCCTTCCTCTCCCTTTCCCCACTCTCATTCTGATATTTGCGCACACTACAACACGTGAATGTATTTCTGATGTGTTTTATATTTCCCCCTTTTTTCTTGTACTTTATTTCAAAACCAATCTCCATTAGATATTTAAACAAGAACGAAATCAGAAGTGCAGTTGTGGACGCCCATGCACAACCGTACTGACAGGCGAGGGTCCTACTCAATGGCAGCGGCGGAACAGGCGGTGCTCTACTGCTCAAGGGCCTTCAGCTGCGAACCCAGGCCCTCGCGCTTATTCGTTCACGTTCTGGCTCTTGGATAACCACCGCTTCAGCAGCTGCGCCATCTGCTTCCTGCTGTGCAGAAAGAGCAGCAGCAGCTTGCCCACGGCGTACGCATCGGAGGTGGCCGCAGGAACCCTCCTTCTCGCTCCCGCAAGTCTGGGGGGGGGGGGTAGGGCGGGCGCTCGTTCTCCTCGATCTCCGTCAGGAGAGGCCACCAGGGTCACACCGATCGATCACGGTGACCCGGGGACCCTCTGCGCCCGTCCTCACGCACACGCTGTCCGGCTTGATATCACTGCTAGCAAGGCCGTGCTTGTGTATTTTCTGCAGGATGTTGCACACCTATGCAAAAGACATCCTGTGTTCCGTTTGCAAGCGGCCGACAACACGTTGAGGGTTGGGCCGGTGTACCTAGTGTCCAGACAAATGTTCTTCGGACACACGCCCACGAGGCTGCGCTAGAAGTCGTGGAACTTGTCGAACAATCTCAATTATAGGTCTGGAACATCAAAGTCGGCGCATACTTCACAATGAGATCCTTCTGACGGTTTATGAAGGCGGTGCTGTAGCCGCCCTTGCCAAGCTGCCTGAGTGCCTAGTCCTCACAGAGTTACTCAGCAGACAGAAATGGCATGTGGAACTTGGAAGTCCACGCAGAAGCGTTTGTAGGCGTCGATGTCCGTTTCGTCCAGCCTCCTCGGGACCGAATTGTCTTCGAACTCCATCGTAAACAAAGTCTCGTAACAGTTTTCGAACCTTGCGGGTAATTTCTTCGGAGGCTTGTGTTGAGGGCTTATTATCTGGCTCTTTTCCCTCTGCTGAGAAGTCGTCTCCTCACTGAGGGTTGTTCTTACCTTCTGTTCTTCTTCTGTGAGGCTCTCCGCTTCTGTCTTTGCTTACGTGCATACCTGAGCACACTTGCTCCGAAAGCTCAGGGTCGAATCGGTTGTCTGGATCGGGAAAGGCTGGATCAGTAGCAATTCGAGGAGGTCATGATGTCAAATATTGATGACGTCACAAAAGATGCGATTCTGTTTTTGAAAAAAAAAACATATGGTTTATTATTCATTTTGGTCTTTTCAGTTTTTAAAAAAGGATGGAAAATAATGATTTTAATGGTTATATTTTCATTGAAAAATCATCAAAATAACCTTGTGGATGAGAAGAGTGGGAGTCGAGCCAAAGGCTTGTATTTCGACTCAGCTTGAAGTAATTAAGTATACCTACTCTTATTATTACCCCCATACACTCAATGAATGAATAAAAGGTATTTTATTTAATGTGTAGGATACCAGGCCGGGCTATTTTTAGAATAGCACATGTTCAAGTTTACATTTTGTACATTATCCAACAGCATTTTTGACTTCATTAAAGTCTTGTTGGCCTGGTATCCTACTCATTAAATAAATTACTTTTTATTCATTCATTTAGTGCGTGGAGGTAATGATAAAAGTAGGTCTACTTAATTCCTTCAAGCTGAGTAAAAATACAGGCCTACGCCTTGACTCCCACGGCGAAAAATTCCACTTCAGAATCATGCATAAACATAATCGCCCATTCTTCTCATCCACAAGACTATTTTGATGATTGTTCAGTGAATATAAAACCATCAAAATCATTTACTTTCCATCCTTTTTGAAAATTGAAAAGACCAAAATGAATAATAAGACCTATCTTCTTTTTCCGAAATGAATAAGCCGTGTTATTTTTCCGAAAACAGAATCGCAACTTTTGTGATGTAATCAAAATCTGACGTTGTGACCTCCCCCAGTTGCTACTGATCTAGCCTTTCCCCGTCTAAATCCCCAAGGATTCGACATCAAAGAAATCTTGGTCGATTTCCTTCTCTTCTCTGGATCCCTAGAGTCCACCAGGGGCGCAACTACGGGGGGGGGGGGGGTCCTGGGGGTCCGAACCCCTGCCCTTTTTCTCAAAGGGGTGAAAGTGCCCTTTTTCTAGGGCACTTACTTTCTCTTGATCTTGGAATGGCGATGAGACTGTTTATTGTATTTTTGTTTGGTTCAGTGCAAATAATTATTATCATTAAGATTCTTGTAACATTTCTTCCGTTTTTAAATCTGAAGAACATAATTCAGGCTATATCCCCTATAAATAAAATTCATATTGTGCCCTTTTTGTGGCCTGGACCCCTGCCCTCTAAAATTCCTAGTTGCGCCCCTGTCCACGATCTCGAAAAAATCGGCCTCGGAAGCCATGGTTCGTGGGAGACAAAACGGAGCAAGTTTCCGACACGTCTTCTCTCTAGCAGTGCGCGAGGAATAATGAGGGTCACTGCATGTTTCATTATGGAAGTGCTCAAGGTCGTGTGTGTGTGTATAATATATATATATATATATATATATATATATATATATATATATATATTATTACACACACACATACATTCACATACACACACACACAAACATACACACACATACACACACAACACACACACACACACACACACACACACACACACACACACACACACACACACACACACACACACACAACACACACACACACACACACACACACACACACACACACACACACACACACACACACACACACACACACACACATTTACACACACACAAACACACACACACACACACACACACATACATTCACAGATACACACACAATGTATAAGTATATATGTGTGTCAATTGACGGGCATAGATATATACATACATATATATGGATATATATATATATATATATATATATATATATATATATATATGCACACACATATGTTACGTGTGTGTGTGCATGGACGGTCATAGATATATACATATATATATATATATATATATATATATATATATATATATATACATATACATATATATGCACACACACACGTGTGTGTGTGTGTGTGTGTGTGTGTGTGTGTGTGTGTGTGTGTGTGTGTGTGTGTGTGTGTGTGTGTGTGTGTGTGTGTGTGTGTGTGTTTGCATTAATGAAAATAAATTAGATAATTCAGTGTACATACTCTGTGGTAAGTATTTCAAAATACGCCAGGAAATATAACAAATCAAAATTGTCTCCATCAAATGCAAATAACAATAAATCACATCTTAAAGTGTCAGCAGATTCCCACTTAATAAGCAGTATAGAAAGAAAAAAATTACACTTATTCCAGTATTAAACACATCTAAATCATCTCCATAAGCTAATAATTTCAAAGTAAATTTATAGAACAATATTTGAAAAAGATCGCCTAGGTCGATAGCGACGGACCAATCAGCGTCGGCCTGAGTCCCTGCCGAGCCGTCATCCAATCAGCAGCCAGCTTTCATCTCTCCTCTAGCCTACCACAACAAACTACGGCAGCATGGTGAGCCTCTCCCGTGAATTTTGTGATAAAATGGAGAAAATACGAGGTTAAAGTGAATTAAATGGCGTAAATAAGATGCAGTGATATCCGAGGAACGTTTCTGCGTGACTGAAGTGCAAGAATTTAGCGAAATAAGGAGTTTATGAGATATTTGTTGAGGAAGACTCGTGGGCACGTGTGGGGAATGGCGTCAGGATTTTGGCGAATTTGGGGAAAACGAAGGAAAAAATAAGCGATTTGGAGGGAATATTTGTATTAAAATTAATGAATTCATAGCAGTGGAAGTTCGTATTTAATACATGTGATTTCTTTACCGAGAAACGGGATTTATTCAATAAGAGATAAATATTCGACGGGACAAAACGCCGACACTGAATTGATTTTCTAAAAGTATTATATTGACTATTTCTCGTGTTTTTCGTTAATTTAGATAACTATTGATTCGATTCGGGTAAAAATAAGCGACAAAGTAAAAAAATGAATGTTATAAAACTCCTAAATTCACGTGTCTCTTCGCCATGTCAACAACGAACATTTCGTATTGAAGCCGCGGATATTTTTTGAGGAATCTTAGTAGTTGATGGAATGAGGAAAATCTAGGTTTTTTAAGTAAAATCTGTAGGTTTTTTAAGTTATCAGAAGTTTCTACTGAAAATCATTGACTGAATTGAAGGGAAGGCAGAGAAGGGGAGCTAGGAAGTGCATGAATATTCCTGTCTCGTTATATTGTTTTTTATTTATTCGCAAGGGTTTGTTTCATTAGATTTTGGATAATAAATTGCACTGGTTGCCAAATATCATGTATTTCCCGACAAGAATGAGCCTACAAACCTTGATGTAGGTAATGGTAAATGAGGAAGGTTAGAATTTGTAGATTTGTCGTGTAAAGATTACAAAAATAATAAATGGGTGGGTTGATATCAACTGACCTATATTGAGGTATGTAGTCTAATCGCGTGTGGTGCGAGAGATGCTTAAATTTCGGATATTATATCGGTGCTTAGTGGTGGTACTCAAAGGTGTTGAGTACGTGGATAAGAGATTCTTTTAAACTAGTTTAGTTTCTTGAATCCTGTGGAACCGATACATTCTTTAGTGGAGTAGTTAGCATTATTTGGAATGTAGGTACTCTAGTTTCATCCACCTGTCTTGAAGTTACCTTGTGTGCTGGAAAGGAACAGGTGTGAGAGGATCCTTGTAATTCGTCATGGCGTATTCTGGAATATCTGTGACAAGGGAGCTTGTTCACTATTTCTTGTTCTGTTCAAAGGGTTGAGCTAGTGCAATATGTGAAAGGAGGAAATGATTTTAATAAGGAGAAAATATCTTTATTAATATATTTATCAAAATACTTATTTTCTTAATCTTCTCTCCAGCCGCCCAAGAAGGATACCAAGGCTAAACAGCCCTCCAAGCAGCCTGCCAAGAAGAAGGAAGGAGGAGGAGGTGGCAAGGCCAAGAAGAAGAAGTGGTCGAAAGGAAAGGTCCGTGACAAGTTGAACAACCTGGTGCTGTTCGACAAGGCCACCTATGACAAGCTGTACAAGGAAGTGCCCTCATACAAGCTGATCACTCCCTCCGTCGTCAGTGAGAGGCTGAAGGTCACTGGATCCCTTGCTCGTCGTGGACTCCAGGAATTGCTTGCAAAAGGTCGGTCTAACAAGGTTACATTACTTTCTTTTGATTTATTTTTAACTTATTAATTTGAAGTTGAGTAATTTATAGTTCTTGATAAGTATGAAGTGAATTTAAGTAAAAATTAGCTTTTGTGAATTTAACTTCATAAGTGCAGTGTCCAGTAATTCATATGGAATAGTCAGTATTTATAAACATTTTTTTCCCCCTTTCAGGTTTGATCAGACAGGTGGTGAAGCATCATGCCCAGCTCGTTTACACCAGGACCACCAAGTCTGAAGATTAAATAAACATTTTGGTTTAATGCTGTGTATGATTTCTTTCCATGCAAGGTTTGAAGACAAAGTAAATGAGTATTGGTGAATATTTTATCAAGTTCTGCAATGTGCTTGGAAATTTTGGCAGATTTTCTTGTAGACGAGTAATATCTTGCTTTGAAATGGTGCAAATAAAAATGGTTGTTGGAACATTAAGATGATACATGAGGCAGTTATTTTAGTAAAACCATTCTACTTCATGTTGCTTACAGATGTTAATACCCTGGTAAACTGCACTTCTCACTCCTCATTGGACATGAAAGCCTTTCCTTGGAATCTAGACTTTTTGGAAGCTTTTTTAGTCATTGCACAGGAAAGCCTTTCCATCGATTGTGGGTATTTTTGAAACTTTTTACAAAGTAATTTTAAATTAAAAAGCATTTTCAAAGCCTTGGGAGTGGGAAGCACTCCCATTCCAATTTTCTCCACCCAATGCTCCTTAATCACCATATGTAGACTCTCAACCCATTTTTTCCGTAATTTTTACCACACTCCAAGTGAAAAGCCCATTAACCACTTGCATTGAGACTAGCATATTTTCAAGACAAAACATGTATGAATATGAAACCTCCAATCTAGGTTATGGTTTGTTTGATTAAACTTAAACCCCCCACCCCCTCAATCCCTTGCTCATTGTTGTGGGTGGTTTACGAGACGGAGACAGGCTCAATGTAGGGGATCACCCCAATCTTGGACCTCGGCCGTCACATTGACTACTTTTGCATGGTCTTTTCTTCTCCCCTTTTCCTTTTCATTCTCTTCATCCCTCTCATCTGTCCACATCCTAAAGTGAGACCTGTGCTGAAAGGATTAGAGACTGGCTTTTTCAGTTCTATACTGTTTGCTCTTTCCACTTCACCCTTTTCAGTACCACACTAACCTACAGTGCAACAACAACCTTTGATATGCAACACATTTTGTCCTAATCATTAATTCACTTCAACCCCCTTTTGCCACAACACTATCATATTGTTTTAAAACACTTGATGTCTAGCACATTTTTGACCATGGGCCATTCTGGGAATCTACTAACATTGCTTTATGAACCAAAAGACTTTCTAACCCCAGGGGCTTCACCCCCAAACCTCATGCTGGGACTGCAGCCCAATGTGGGGTATCACCCCTGCCTTGGACTGCAGCCCTTGCCTCAACTAATTTTGCATTGCACTTCTCTACCTTTCCTTTTCCTTCTCTTCATCTTTTGTTATATTTGCTGATCCCTCTCTGCCCTTTTCACTACTATAATAACTTACAGTGCTAACCTATATGTAACGTATTATGTCCTAGTTGGTAACTCATTTGTGACCTTTTCTTACCTGGGGGCTTTGCCCCCAAACCTCGCCGTATCGCCATATTTTGTATATGCCACTAATGACAGATGTTGACGCAGCAGAAATATATATTTCCTAGATGGGGATGCCCCCTGTACCCCCATTTATTAGCAATTCATGCCAAGTGATAATAAACAGACATTAAGAACTATGGAGTTGTGGACGGTCTCTTGACCAGTGATATCCAGGGGATATTTTCATCATTTAGCAATGAATGAGGCCACTGCAGCTATATGTATGTTTCGTACTCTACTTCTAACGCTCTATAAGATGGCAGTGTCCTTTTCCCTCCTATCTTTACACTTCACTCAGTAACTAAAACCAATAAATTTTCTTTCCTTTTCCTTCTCTTTATCCACTTCTGTGAAATGTGAAAGCTGTGCTGAAAGGATGAAAAGCTGGCTCTGTCAGTCCTGAACAGCTTTCATACTTCATTTACTATTTCCTTTTTACCCTTTTCACTATCATGCTGTACAACCTTGAAATCTAACATTATTTTGTCCAAATTGGTAATCCAATTATAGTATGGCTCAATCCATCATTATAAAGGAGAATTACAGATGAAACCATTTCTTCATTAACAACATTTTATCCAATGTTCTTGCATAAAAGCACTTTGGTACTAAGATGAAGAATGTAAATTATGTCTTGGTATTAAATATATTTCAAAATGTCTAAGTATCTCAAAATAGATAGTTTTGATTTATTTGGAATCTATCATTTAGGTGAAGTATGTATGTTAGTTTTTTCTATACACACTAACACACATTATTCTGGATGCATAAAAGAACAAGCCTTACAATTCATATTTTATTGACAAAATACATCTGCAAACATCAATATATTTATAATATATAGATAAAATAGGACTAATATTCTTTAAATTATTACTAAAATATCAAGTCAGTTTCCCAAGTTCCAAAGGTGGTTTTGTGAAGCCAAAAGCCCGACAAACTTGGTTCAGATCCAGGGTCTGAATGTTGAATATCTTTTTGAGCTTGTGGCACTGGTAGGCTCGTACAAATTTCTTGTATGCCATTTTTGCACTCTGGCGGATGTCTAAACCATCAGAAACCAGTGAGAACAGCTGAAATACAAAAGAAAATTCAGTTCCTGTTCATAGAAGTAAGATCATTTATTGATTTCTAGTAATTTTATAATTTCTAAAGGGGGTTAAAAAATATATATATCAAGATCTGTTAAACTGTGATAAAACTTATTACACTGTCTAACATGGAATGAAATTCAATCTGGAATTGGTTAAATAATAAAATGAGCACAGGTTATGTACTGTATTTTCAAGTTCCGGAAAATTATCAGAATTGGCTACAACAAGGAAGAGAAAACAAGTGGAATTATGAAAACCTCCTCTCTAGTTACTTCTTAATTCATTTATCTAGAAGGGGTATGATCACAACGCAATTAGAGGAAAACATCTGACACACAAAAATGATCAGACCTGTTATAAAATCAATGGTGATATAACAGAATATATACATCAGAAAATGGAAACGGGTAATAGGATCATTAAGAACGAAAAGAAAAAAGGTAAAATGGAGGAAAAGCACGAGAGAGAAAAAGTGAAGGGAGAAAAAACAGATTTATAGCTGACTACAGGCCTATCCACAAGTGGGCATGATCTGCAGACACATCGTTGGGCAACTGTAAAGGTGATGTCATAGGCGAGAAAACAACAAAGAAACTACCTGCTTACTAAGTAGTTTGCCTCCCTGACGCCATCCTACTCATGTGTCTGCCCACGTACCCATCAGTCATGCCTATTTGTGTAAACAGGCCTTAAGGAAAGTAGTACAGATGCCTTACCTGCTCCTGTATATCATTAAAGTCTCCCTGGAACTCTAGCTGATCGATCTCAACTTTCATTCCCTTTAAAACGGCAATAAATTTCTCTTCTTCTGGTCGCAGGAATAAGAGTGCCTGTCCAGTCTGTCCTTCGCCACGGCCAGTGCGTCCAATTCGGTGAATGTAGTCCTGTCAATTAATAGGTGTATATTAAAATCTGAGTAGCATAGTTGCAGAAAAAAATAAGTAATATCAATCAAATAATCTTAATTAAACCGATGATAATCTCACCCTCTTCTTTCCTCTCTCCCAGTCTCATTTTCTCTCTCTCTTTTCTTTCCTCTCATTCTTCCTAACCTCCTAACCCTATGCTACTTTATTTTGTTTACCTTCCCCCTCTCTACATCTAGACCTATATTCTTGTCACATTTCTCTCTGCCCTATTCTTGTAATTCACTTTCATCTGTTTTCTTCCTACATTCACCATTGCTTTATACTTTCTCTGCTATGCTTTTATCATCCATTTTTCTTTCTCAGTTCCTGAATCCACTCCCCTTCCCCTCTTTCTTCTCAACTTTTGAGCTACAAGTTATTTTGTGTCTCCATGTTCTCTCCATCCTGCTCATTTTGCTGTACTCATCAGGATGCCACAGTGGATCATACTGATTGTCTTGAATGTTCCCATCTTTTTTTCTTCATCACTATATGCCCTTTTCTTCTTTCAGTTCATTTCTATTCTCTTTTCCCTCAGGTTCCCCTTCTCCATTCCTTCACTCAGTACTTTTCTTCCATTTTTATCTTCACTCTTCCTACCCTCTATTCTTTATTCTCCTTTCCTACCTCCTTCACTTAGTTGTGTATTTTCTTCCCTAAAAATTCTAGTTCTCATTTCCATGTAGTTTAGTACATCATACTGAATGCAAGTAGTGTTCCACCCCTTTCCTTTTATCTTTTGTTTCCTGCTTTTAATTCACTTTTCTCCTTCCTTTCTCTGCTCCTTTGACAACTAACACATTTTGTCATAATTGTTAACACATTTTTACCCTTTTCACCACAATGCTTTACCATTGTGCTATATGACCTTTGATGTTTAGCACATTTATTTGTTTCAACCATTAACCATTCCTTTCTCTGCTATTCCTCCATTCATTTCTCATTTCCTTTCCCATCCCCTTATTCCCACTCTTCTTCCCTTTTTCCCTCTGTTTCCTCCTCCTCCTATCCTTCCAAAATTGTCTACACTTTCTTTTTCTACAATCATTCCCGGTTTTACTCACCTCAGGTTTGTGTGGTGGATCATATTGCACAATCCACTGGACGCCTGGGATGTCCCACCCTCGTTCTGCCATCCCGGTTGTCAAAAGTATTCCTCTCTCCATTTCCACAAATTTGGTGTACATATTACTCCTCTGGCTCTGCTTCTCTTGGCCCTGATGGCAGAAGGGATTTGTATTAAGTGTTGAATGTCAAGAGTGAATGAAAAATTTTTAAAAGTAAATTTTATAGAAAAAGAGAAGTTTTCATAGAGATCTTGAACTTAACTTACATAGAATATTGTATAGAAACGAGTTATGGAAAGGTATGAATGAGAACGAATATCTTCAAAATACAAGAGATGTATTTAACCAATTTCGATTATATCTTCATCGATTGCGATTTTATCTTCATCAGAAATAGATGTATTTCTGACAAAGATATAATCGAAACCAGTTAAATACATCTCTTGTATTGTGAAGATATTCGTTCTCATTCATACCTTTCCACATTTGTCAACATGAATACCGTTCAGAAACTGGAGTTATTAAAGATGAAGGCTAGGTGCCTTTTCATTTTGTCAAAACCTGTTTTCTGGT